AGCAAACATCGTTGCACTGTTTTTCAGATTGACTTTTCATAACAAATAATAATAAAAATAAAATAATAATAATAAAATTATTGATTGATTTATGGGTTTGTCTAGTTTTTTTCATGGTCATTTTAGATTTAGTTTAATGCATTCACGCCTCTTTCCTTGCAACCTATTCCGATTTTGTGCTCACTTCTCTCTTTTTTTGTAATTATTTCTCAACGTTTGCACCTTATGGTCTTTCAAAGTATCTCTGCAGTCTCAGTCTATATGTTTTATGATTTATTTATTTATTTTTTACCTTTATCCCTTCTATACTTATCATCTCAACTGTTTTTTTTTCTCCTAGACATTTGTTTAGATCCAACAATGAATTATTCACATTAGAGCAACATAAATAACAATTTGGGTTAGATATATGTTGCGTCTCTTGTTTTTAACTGCTTTATTTCACTGTATCAACTCACAGTCACATTTATCATGGGGTATACATCCCATTTTTACATATATATTGGAGCTTTAATTTGAGCAAAATTAAAACTTAGAAAAGGGAAAGTTTGCCCACACCCTTTGTATTTAAGACAGAAATACAAAAGTTTCCCATTGTGCACTTGTAATATTGTTTAAGTTAATATTTTGTATTGTTGATTCATTTTTAATAGTAAAACTCCTTTAAATTGAAAGCTCACTGCTTTCAATTTGAACAAACTGTAAGCGGTCTGCTGCTGATTGTGTTGAACACAAGAGGGCAGCAAAGCACAAATAATTGGAGTCTCATTGAAATGGGAAACCGTTGGTTTAATATTTTCCTGTGTAAATATGCATTAAGTGAGACAGCAAATGCATTTTGACTGAATGATCTGGGATTTCATTCTGATGTTGTTTACTTATTGTTACTGTATTCAAGAGGTACTTCAATAATGTTAGAGTCACAATTTAAAAAAGCACTAATCCATGTTCAAGTTTAAAGCCTTTGTGTACAGTTGAACTGTATTTTTGAAGTGTTATTTCATAACCTCAAAGTGACCCAAACCCTCCTTGCTTGTTTTTGTTAAAGCACAGGGATGCTGGTGTGTAGGCCGAGGTGAAAAGGCCAGTGGGACTGATGCTGCTGCGTTTGGTCATGGTGCACCAGTGGGAGCAGAGGCAGACAACTTAGGACTTAGGAAGGGCACTGCAAATTACTGGAGTCAAACAAAATAGATTAAAGGACATCTGAACACAGAGTTAAAAACTTCTGTGTTTTTTTTTAATTTGGCAGGTTGTAGAGTGAAATATTTAAAAAAAGGTGGATCAAATTATCATTGTAATAATTCTCTGATGAACCTTATTTATGCTTTCGCGTATTTTTTTTTTAGTAGTTGTAGTTTTTTCTCTGGCTGTATATTATGTGTTCATGGCCTTGTGCCTGGAAAATGGTGGAAAACATCCAATAGTCATCAACCTTTGAGCCAACACTCCTCCATTGTAGTAGCTGTTTGATTATCTTTGCTTGTGAAATACTATAGCGGCTAAAATATATGGGACATTTTGGCAGTGGACTTCACTATAAATGGGTGGGAGAAGGTGGCTTTTGGTCTTCTATTGGCTGCTTTTGTAGTGGGTTCTCCTAGTTTTGATTTAGTTGTGTGTTCGTCACTGAACAATGGGGTTTCCTCTTTTGTTTTGATTGTTGATTTTTTTATTACTTGCACATTTGGCTGTTTTCTCATTGCATCCTCTTCTCCCTCCCATCTCAATCCTTCTTCATGCCTCTCCACGCTCCTTACCCATCCATCCTGTCCTCCCCGAAGCCAGCCCATTGGCCCTCGCCTAGCAACTGCATGATAATTTGGCTTAATGTGACACCCCCCAGATGCACGATAGGGGATGTAAGTCAACTATACCCCCACCCCATTTCTCCCACTTGCTGGTGGCTGGTGCTTGTGTTTGAAAAGAAAGAAAAATGAAGTGGTGAGGATGAATGGGTTGGAGGCAGAGCGAGAGAAAAGGGGGGGAATTTCACGCTCAGGTCGTTACACGACTGGTTGTCTACAGGCTGAACCTGTCATCTCTCCCAGGGGGGCTGTTCTCCTCTTTCTGCATCTGATCATCTCCTTTCCTCRTTCTCAGCTTCTCTCCACACGGCTCACGTGTCGTCCACATTGTGTGCCTTTAGAGCCAAGAGCGAAATAAAGCGGCGTTTTGCGGYGAGCCGACAGGCGTGTGGCGAGGCAGCTCCCCTGCTCTGCGAGGACCCAGAAGCAGCAGCTCATAGGTGCTTCTGACGCGCAGGCAACTAAAGATGGCTGCTCCATCTGTCTCCACGCTGCTATGTCTGACGTGAGCGCGACACTTGTGAAGGACATCCTGAATGCAGTTTTTCCTCGCCCTCCTTTGCGTCTCTTTTCTCTCTTCGGCAGTCACAAAAATCCCATCTTTGTGTACCTCATCGTGTCTCTTTGTTTTTATACGTGCTCACCCCCTTCCCTTTTTTTTTTGTTTGTTCGTTTTCAACAAAGACCTGAATGATTTAGAGAAACCAAAGCGTCCTCGATCATGTTTGACCTCCCCATGATGGTGTCATTGATCCCAGATGGATTGAGCTCAGAGAAGTACTGCAATATCAGAAATTAGGAGAATGGACTGTGATCTTAATAAATTATTCATAAAATCATTAGAATAAATCATGCCTGGTTTGCTCATTAACTAGATTGGGTTTTGGTTATGTTATGTATTCACCGATGAAGGCTATAAAAACTTTAAAAATGGCCGGTTTAGACCATCTGACAGCACTTGTCTGCATACATGCAAGGGTAATCAAATTCAACAGATTCCTCACCTTCACCCAGTGGGCAGCACTAATCTGAATATTGGCTGCACTAACCCTAAAGCACTAAGTCAAATATTTCTTTTCCTATAATATAATTTCCTAATATTTTCAGGCTGACATTGTAAATAAGAAACTGTCCTTTAATGTTTTGCCTGGTGAAATAAAGGTTAAATAAAAATAAATAATAAAATTTAGGTCCCCTAATTCTAAAGCGCTAACCCACTGAAAAATTGAGCGAAAGCCAATTCTACAGCACTAAAATAATCCAGTTGGCACATGAAACATTCTTCAGTCAACATGAGACAATACACTGAAAAAACTAACTTTTGGTTGTAGTAACATTTATTTAATTATTCTTTTAAATTTTACAAAAAATATCAACATCTCTAAACTACTAGAATTTACTAAATAAACAATACACATTATATTATATATCAACATTACTGTACAAAAAATGTAAATGCTAATATTATTTTACCAGTAATATTWAAGTGCTTTTTCTGGACAGCACATAAACATGAATATATTAAGTAACTTCTACTCTTCTGGGCTAAAACTGAGGGTGCATGCGCACACAAAGGCTGCTGCTCCTCATTCCCTTGCTTCACTTTTCAAGGAGAGGACAAGACATGGTCGAAACAAAACATAAGTTTCTGGTTTCTTTTGCTTGAAAACATTTGTTGGTGTGCAATAGTTTGATGCCATAATGCATATTGTAGCATTCTGCTGTGTTTGGCTGTTTGTCATATGACTGCAGTGGAGGATTGTGGGTAGGATTCATGTTTGTTGTTGTTAAATCATTTTAGGGAATTGGTTAACATTGTTCATTCAGCAATTAGTCTGTGTTAATCTAATTTGTGTGTTCATTATTTATTAACTTGTGTTAAACCATTCAGCAGAAGTAACCATAAGTGAGAGTGGTGGGCCTAGTCATTAATAAGACCTGTGAGTTTCACTTTGTCTGTTTTGTTCATAAAGAAGAATCCAATAAAGGTTCTTCAAAACCACCACCTGGTGGTGAAGTCTTGAACTACAACAAGAGCTTCTTCTCTCTGTAGCTGTGAGGTGTCATGCTACAATATTGTGCTTGATGCATGTGTACTGTTGTATAGAACTTGTAAGATTTACTTGAAAAAATCCTCGCAACAATTTGCACTAATGTTTAAGTAAATGTAAATGCTACAAATTCATGTAATATTTACTCATCATTATCTAGTAAAAGTTAAGAATATAATTAAAGATTTGTGAATAAATCAGGTAAATTTTACTTAATTTGCTCAATTAAATCTTGTAACATATACTTGATCAAATTTGTTGCATTTATTTTTGTAGCATTAGCATTTACTTAAATGTTAGTGCAAATTGGTATGAGGATCTTTTTCAAGCAAATCTTACAAGTTATTTTTTTCAGTGTATTTACTGTGTGCAGAATGCTATCACTTAGTGCCCTTGGCGGGCCAAATGGGAGTCACCTGCAGGCCACATTTGGCCCGTGGGCCTTGAGTTTGACACGTGACCTTGTAGATACATCTGAACAAAATGTGCGACAGCTTTCACCCTCAGTTGTGAACAATAATGTTGATCAATAACATTTATAGACCTCAGTTAGTGCTTCTAAATTTAGCCTATAAATTTAGCAAGTGCTAATCCACTAATGAATAAAAAAATAGCAAAAGCTCTAAAGCACGGGGAACAGTGCCCACCAATATCTTCACCCATGTCTTTCTCCACATTCCTTCTCTCCACATGCTGTTACTTGGCCACCTGCAGCTGAAAGTCTTTGTCTGTGCAAAGAAACACCCATTCCACTGTTGCCCCAGCTATTTTTACCCCTCTTTTCCCTAGAAGGATGGCCTTCGCTTCATTCATGCACTTGCAGCCATTCTCGCGCAGTTGATCTCTTTCAAATAGTTTGTCTCTTTTGACACACAAAGGCACTCACATAACAAGCACCTTCCCATAGTTGAACGCCCAACGACGCTCAGCAACAAGGACCGGTGCGAGGACAAACAGCAGTAAGACAAAACAAATGCGAAAAGTCCATTTAAGCAAGCGCGTTGTTACCGTGGTAACCCCTCTCCTCCCCTCCTCCTTCCTCCCGATCCCTCCCTCTTTCTGTCTCCTCCCCCTCCCCGTCCACCTCTGTGGTCGGTGATGCTCCTGTCTCTTTTCTCTCTCCGTCCGGCTTGTCCTCACCTCTCCTGGACACGCTGCTCTCACACACCCGCCGGCGGATGAGACACGAGGAGGAGGAGGAGGAGGTGGGAGACGCTGCCTTCATCTCTCCCATCACTCCATCACTTTGACATAAAAAGAAAAAGAAGGAAAGAAATGCAGAGCAACAACCACAAGAGAGGACACACAGGATATAACATACATAGTTTTTATTAAAGAGAAAAAAAAACCTACTCTTCCCCATTCTCCTTTTCAAGGAGGGCATTTTTCTTCCCTTTCCCCCCCTTTCCTTTTCTGCCCCGATTTTTTCCTCTGAGATCCCGGTGTTGCTGCCCCACTGAACTTCTCCGGGATTTCAGGTGAGGCGCGCGTGTGTAGTGTGGGGTGCCTTTATTTTTTTTATTCCACGTTTTTTTTTTCTGCCACCTGTCATGGCGCACGCGGCCTCCCAATTGAAGAAGAATCGGGGGGAAGTGGATGTGAATGCGATAGAGGACGAGAAGGAGAAGCGGCGGAAGAGCAGGAGAGCATCGTCCCGGGAACAAAAGAGAAAGGTATAACGGCGAGGGCTGGCTGCTTCGCTCCGTCTGCTCGGCTCCACTGGTGTCACTGGAGCGTGAATCTGTGTGTGTCTCTGTGTGTGTGTGTGGTCAACAAGCAATATCAAAGAGGTTTGAAGGTCTCACATCTGTTCTTGTCTTTGTTCACATCTGCAAACAACCTAAATGTAGGGCTTCTGATATTTGCTTCTACTTGTTTTTATTGGTCATTTAAACCAGTCTCTAACCCTGCACACTGAATGGTTATTTGCACTGGATGATGGTTTGAAGTTAAAGGTGTTTTTACTTGTTTACTTGATGACATCAGGAATCTGATCCCATGAGGTGCATTCTCAGGCTTCTGTTTTCCTGACTAACTCAGCTCAAAATACATGTAAAAAAGTGAGTTTTATACGGAATAAGTTTTTTTTTAAAGTTAGGGTTTTAAAAAGATGTAAATAACTCTTGTCACATAATTTTTGCTTGATTGTGTTTTTTTAGCAGTTCTTTTTTTTTGAATGTTGCATGTGTGCGTATGTGCACGCACAGACCACCATGTATAATGCATACTTAACTGATTTATTGATGACAAAGCTTCTTTACATGATGGAAGAGAAACTGAAAAGCACGTGGCTCTCTGTCCTTTTTCATTCCTCTCATTTGTCAGTTCTTCGTTCAGACCAAAGCAGAGAGAGAGAAAAAGTATGTTTTTTCTAGCTCCTACTCTTTATCCACTTTTTTTATTGTTAAATTAAATTAAAATGTCACCACTTTGAGCATTTTTTAAAGCATTTAGAGCTTTTTGCATATTGACGCCGGGCGATTTGACCGTGAGAGATCAATTCAATAACAGTTTGTGACCATGGGTGCCTGGTTTTGAATTATGCTGCTGGCAATGTTATTCGACCTTCCCATGTCGAAGAAGTGAGCCAAATCTTTTTGAAACTAAAAAAAGATCGCTTGAGTTGACCGAGTTCACAGACATCCATTGCAGATGACTAAAAGCAGGAAAAGACTTTCTTATGTCTACTTCTCTGTGGTGAATATCTGTTCTGGAGCTTTGGATTTCGGGTCAAGTTTCATAGAAGAGAACAGGAGAAACGGAGATGTTTGTATTGATTGGATGTGCAACGTCCACAGAGTGATGGTCTCTCCTGCATCTGTTTACCACTTTGTTTACTTTTTTGCACCTTTTCTTATGTCTGTCCCATCTCTTGTGTCGTTTTGCTTCCGCTCTGGAGTTTTACCACCACTCCATTGTTTCACTTTGTGATTTTTGTCCCCCCCATCATTAGTGCTGTTTGGCTCGTGCTGCTGCTTCAGAGTGACATACTGTGACAGAGCAAAGTCGAACACTAAAGTTAATTGGTTTTTTCCACTTGTGTTTTCTTGCTCGTCTGAGAACTTTTGGCCATCGCTGAGGGTCATGTGCGCACACAAACACCGAGAAGAAGCTCACACGCTTGACATCCTTTTATTTATGTGATTTGGACACTCAGTACCCTCTGTTGGTAGCCTTCCAACTCACTTTGTCCTGGAGTACTGACTGACTTAGCATCACAGATAACAAGTGGGAAACACTGATAAGACGTGACAGGTTTAAGAATAAATCCCAATATAAAAAGTGACCAAAAACAAAGCAGAGTATATGCTAACACAGTTGCCACGGTAGAAATTGTGCAACAAACTTGCGCAACAATCTGTTTTGAGTCACCTTTTCCCCCACAGCCTCTACAAATCCTATATTTAGATGGCAGAGAGCAGACAAAACTTTTTATAGAGAGCACTTGTACAAGCGGAGCTGCATTAGTCACCAAGCAGGTTCATTACTGCATGTGTCAGGAAGTGCAGCTAAATATTGTAGTGGAGCCAGAGTTAATTTAGGTTGTGCACCTAAAATGCACATTAGCAATGTGACTTGTCAAGGTCTATCATTGCCCTAATTACTGCCAGGACTTTAATCATTGTAAAGGTGGGTTTTTTTCTGTTGTGCACAAGTCTGGAGTTTTCCCCTTGAATTTCAAGTAAACATCATTTAATATAAAACTTGACCTGAGCGCATTTATGTTAAAGTTTTACTATAATTTGGGCACATTTTTATCTTWACATCCCCTCTGAAAAAAAGTCTAGTAAGCTAAAATTGAAAATGTAGGTGAAAGCGTTTGTGTTTTTATTTGAATCCAGTTATTACGTTTTACCACAGAAGTTATGCTAATGTTTCATACTTTGTTATTAATTATTTTTGTGTAATCCAAATCTCAGTTTGCTCTGATTGGTCAGTTGATTGGCAAGAAATGTTGGAGTACAGGCAGCTGTTTGTTCTTCATTTCTGACATTGTAAACTCGCCACTTGGAACACATCATGCAGATGTGTTACATGATGATGTTTTTAAGCAACAAAAAAAGTTTGGATTTGAAATGTGATAGAGTTTTATTGGATTTATTAAACTTCTTAAGGTGTTTCAAATAAAGTCTTGAGGTACGTGACAAATTTATTATTCATCATGGCGTGTCCACAGAGTGTAGCAGGTAGAAACTGCTTTTAAGCAGAGCTAGAAAGACAAAACAWGTCTRDGTTGTTTTTACTATTATCCACATATTAAACCCCAGCAACAAGTGTTTTGATTGGTTTCTATGCCTATGACAAACCACATAACTGATTTCTGATTTGTTGTAACATGTGTGACCTCATTCCTACTGTCTGAATAAAACGACTGTTCACGCCCCCAGAGGTCAGAACTTCTCTGATCTTCACCAGGCTTTCGTCTGAGTTAAGTATCACTGAACTTCTCCTCTTTGCAAAGTGATCTATAAATCTTACTGGTCTCTGGTGTCATTGATTAATGTTCGGCCGGGCTTGTTGTGGTTTCTCTGAGTTCCTAGGTTGAAAAAACCGAACAAAATGTTTTCAGACACTGAAGGATTTCAGTTTTCTACAAGAAAAAAAATGAAATCCATCATGTGTGGACCTCATGTTTTATCATTTTTTGCTGCTGATTTGCATCAAGTTTATTTGACCAAACTCAAATAGCATTTTATCAAATAATGCTGGTTTCATTCATTTTAAGGACCTTTTCAAATACACATCCAGTACTAAAATACAAACATCTTGGACACTTGTGTAAATTGCAGAAGAAATGTGAAAAAAAATACTTTTGACACATGAAAATACAAACACTGAAAGTAAAGGAAAGAACAAGTCAAACTTGAGGTTTTTATCACACATTTTCTTAGAAAAACCAAGACATCTGTGGAAAATGATGCACCTTGAAGCTGCCTGTCCTTTTTGTGTTTATTTCCACAAATGCTGAAACTCATTCATGTTTTGTTGCTGCAGTGGTTATCTTAAAGGGAAACCCCCATCATGCTAACTAAATTCTTTAAGCTGCTTTCCATTTAATGACATTATCTGGAGCTAGGATCCTCCAGTGAATTCCCTGAGAGAGCACTGCGCAAAGCGTATATTTCCCTAAGAGGTGTCCCAGTTTGAAATGATGTTTTAGTACAAAGATTGAGCTTTCTTACAATACTTAGTCCTGTTTCAAGCTTCATTTAGCAGTTTGTGTAAAGGCTGCTTTGTAGGCATTTTTGCAGTATGTTTCACTTTTAAATAAATCCTGTTTGGATGGTTTATTAGATTTGTGTATTGTTCCTTTCATGACATTAATATCGCAACATCAGCAGGTCTCTCTCATCACTGATGAATGTCATCATTCATCAAAATCTTCTCTCTTGCTGGTTTATAGCTGGTAAATCTAAAGGAATTGGGTTTTACTTCTTCGTGCTGTRTTTAGGTATGACCTGTGAAAGAACAGTGGCAAGGCAGAAATCTTTCCTGGCCTCAGAAGAGGAAAAAAATGTGGAGAAAGCATTTCTCAGATTTCAGGGTGACAGAGAGGAGCACAATTTTGTTATTTATTCTAATCATTTTTCATTAATTTACTCCTTATTTCATTTCATTATTTTAAATTTTATTTATCTTTGTGGCTGGGAAAAAAGAAGCTAGATTTTATGTTGGTCCCCTCCTTCTTATTGCCTCTTACCTGCCTCCCCACCCCAACCCCATCAGCCCATGGAAGATGGAGGTTAATGAATTTGCTGCTCAAGCATGCTTTGGTTAATTGTATTGGCATTGGGAACTCCTCTTGTTAAATTACAGTGTTTTCAAGATCAAGATGACACCAGATGATGGCCACAGCATGGCTTCAAGGAGACTGCCAAGCTTGTTTATGACAATAATAATGACTTCTGTAGTTTGGATATTTTTGTTTGTGCAAATGCAGTTTGTGCAGACTCACCATCTTCAGTTGCCTGTCCATTAGCTTCYGCATTGTTAAGTGTCAGATCTAACAAGATTTTTCCATCACAAATGCAATTTCAAATTAAAGGTCTAGCATTGAAAGGTTGCATACTGCCTCCTGCCTTTCATGCCAGCGTTATAAACTCAAATCATATTAAAAAAGACAGAGTTATAGCTGTTTTGGTCAGTCCTTGATTATATTGACATGCAATATCCCACAATCTTATGAGATTATTTAGTGCTAGATATTCTAGCACTAAATAATCTCATAAGATCATACTTCAAGTTTAGGTATTCACTTGTAGAGAGTCCAGTAAATTAGTGGTACCCAACCTTTTTAGACTTGTGTACCCCCTGAGCCATTTTGTCACACCACCAGTACCCCTTCAGTCAATCATAATGATGATTCTCGCTGAAGGAGCTGTCCAAGGTCCTGAAGGTGCTCGAATGTTTCAGAACTTTACACAGTGTGAAGGACGTAAGGAACTGTCCGAGGTCCTGAAAGTGCTGGAATGTTTCAGGACTTTAAACAGTGTGAAGGACTGAAGGAACTGTCCAAGGTCCTGAAAGTGCTGGAATGTTTCAGGACTTCAGACAGCGTGAAGGACTGAAGGAACTGTCCAAGGTCCTGGAAGTGGTGGAATGTTTCAGGACTTTACACAGTGTAAAGGACTGAATGAACTGTCCAAGGTCCTGAAAGTGCTGAAATGTTTCA